AAATTGCTGTCTTTTCATGTCCCTCTTCATTTCCAGAAGCAAAAAGAAGTCCCAGAGAGCGAGGTCAGGTGAGTCCAGTGCATGGGGCAAAAGAGGCATGCCGTTTTTTGCCAAAAACTGTCACACTGAGATGGCTGCGTGAGCAGGTGCACTGTCATGGCAAAACCAGTCCCCTATCTGCCTTTTGTGTCGCACACTGTTATGTAATTTTTTCCGGAACCTCTAATAGAAATCTTGATTAACAGTCTGACCGTGGAACAGACTCCAAATGCACCTGTCCCCCTCACATCAAAGAGGAAAAAAAGAGCATCATCTTGATCTTTAATTTCACTTGATAAGCTGGTTTGGGGCCAGGTTACAATGGTGTCTTCCACTGACTTGATTGATGTTTGCTTTGGGAGACTTAAGAATAGCACCGTGTCTTGTCAACAGTAATGACCTTGGCAAACAAGTCTGGATCTCTTTGGAGCTGTTCTTTCAAAGCAAGGCATGTTTTCACTTGATGTTCTTTTTCCTGGTCAGTCTGAACCCAAGACACAAATTTCACAGCAACCCTTCTCATTCCCAAATCTTCTGTTAAAATTCACTGAGCTGAGCTCCAAGAGTCCAGATAACTTCCTCATCTCTTTAACGGTCTGTCATCGGTCTTCAAGCACAAGTGCATGAATTATGTTGACATTGTCATCTGTTTAGGAAGTTCATGGACGTCTAAAATGACATTTGTCATCAACTGACATTTCACCTTTTTTGAAACAAGAAAATTTTCCCCATAGCACTGTCCTTGAAGGTTGGGTTAAACATCACAACAATTTATGTGGCATTTTTCCCAAGTAGAAAACAAAATTTCACAAGTGCACACTGTTCTCTTAAATCGGCCATCAAAAAAAAAGGTTCAAGCGAAACGGCTTTTACAAAAAACTCACTGTGACCAGAGAGAACCTTCCCAGGTGACGCACGCCATTGAGTGTACTACTCAGAGGAAATAAAATAATTCAATTTCTGATCTGACCAAGAGTTATAGAACAAGAAAACTCAGAGGAAATAGCTTTTTATCAACAATTTAGGAGCAAAATCTACAAATCCTGCTTCCTGATTTGAGTCTAGGAGCCCTGGTGGGGTTGCCAAGTAAGCTTTGAACTGTTAACTGCAAAGTCAGAAATTCAAACACACCAGTCCCTCTGCGGGATAAAAATGAGGCTGTCTGCTCCCATCAAGATTTCTAATCTTGGAAACTCTATAATGTTGCTATCAGTCAGTTAGACTCTATGGCAGTAGGTTTGGTTGATTTGGTAGTCTGGCTTGGGCCAAGAGACAACCGATTCTTATCACTGTCAATTGAAAATAAAACACCCAATCATTAGAATATTCAATCTACAGACTCAATGCCTTCAAAATCTGTCCCATTTCTTTATTGTAGTCTAAAAAGGAAAGCAGAAGCCACCAATCATACTTCATAGTCTTATAAGAAATATTTACAAGTCTGTCAAGAATAATGGTTTTGAAAAAAAATAACTTTCTGTGCTGCTGTCCAATATACACTAACTACCAGTTGCATGTTGAGCACTTGACATATGGCTAGTGTGACTAAGGAAACAAATTTAAAACTATAATTAATATAAATTTTCAACAGCCATATGTAACTAGAGGTTACTGGACAATGCAATTCTAGATGCTCTGAGAATTGACTTTAAGTAAATAAAAATGCATTTTAAACAGATGACTCCTTTCTTCCTTAGGACTCAACAAGACAGTCAGAAATCACATTTTTTGGTTATTGTCCAAAAATAATCTTTCTCTGGTTTTCTCTGGGTAAACTCCAAGGGCTTATAACAACCTATCTTCACCCACTAGGTCAGAAGGAAATAAGCTAATTCAATGGAAACCTTGGCATCAGGATCTCAGGTGTCCATTTGCTTATTGCCATGGCTATAATTTCTTTAGAAGCTGACCCTATCTTACCTTAAATAAAATTCAAACATTTTCTTATTTTTCTCCATTCTTGGTGTTATGCTCCACTAGACAGATCCAGTGATCTGGTTCTCTGGGTCTTCCATCCTGTAACATAGGAAGTTTGAGTTTTTCCCATTTTGGCAAACACACCAGAGAACTTTGGAGCATAAAATTACAGACTACCTTAGCTGTATGGGTCCAATTAAAAACAAATAAACCAAAAAACAGACTTTGGAACTGAAGAGGAAGATCAATTTGGAACTGAAAATGAAGGCATGAGAGTCATTACCCCTGAGGAGTTTTCCCACGTCCATTCATGTGGGAAATCCTCAGCTTTGGGAGACTCAAAAGATTTTGCAATGTGAATTTTCCTGTGTTGATTGAGGTAGGCACTTCTGCTGAAGCATTTCTCACAGTCGGCACATTTATAAGGTTTTTCTCCTACATGGGTCCTCCGGTGCCTGATAAGGTTAAAGCTTTGGCTGAAGCAGTCACCACAATCAGGACATTTATAAGGTTTCTCCCCCGTGTGTGTCCTTTGATGGATCACTAGTGTGGAACTCTGACTAAAAGTCTTCCAGCATTCCGAACATCTGTAAGGTTTCTCTCCTGTGTGTGTTCTCTGATGCCTAATAAGATGGGAACTAAGGCCAAAACCCTTTCCACACTCACAACATTTATATGGTTTCTCTCCTGGCTGGACTCGGCACTCTTCTATGACATTGCAGTTCTGATTCAAGCTTTCTTCACATTCAGAACTTTCATAAGATCTCTCTCTTAAGTGTGTTTTCTGGTGTGTAATAAGGTTTGAACTTCGACTGAAATTCTTCCCACATTCAGAGCACTGGTAAGGTTTTTCTCCTGTATGTATTCTTTGATGCTTTATTAGAGTAGAATTACAACCAAAGCTTTTTCCACATTCAGGACATTTGTAGGGCTTCTCACCTGTGTGTATACGCTGATGACGAATCAGACTGGAACTCTGACTAAAACTCTTCCCACAATCAGAGCACTTATAAGGCTTTTCTCCAGTGTGAGTCCTCTGGTGTTCTATCAGGACATAGCTGTGACTGAAGCATTTCCCACATACAGGACATTCATATGGCTTTTCACCTGTATGTGATCTGTGATGCTGAATCAGGTGAGAGCTGCTACTGAAACACTTCCCACACTCAGGACACTTATAGGGTTTCTCTCCTGTGTGAGTTCTCTCGTGTATAATAAGATGAGAGGTATTATTGAAGCTTTTCCCACATTCACCACACTGGTAAGGTTTCTCTCCGGTGTGTGTTCTCAGATGCTGAATCAGGTGAGAGCTATTACTGAAACATTTTCCACACTCAGAGCATTTATAAGGTTTTTCTCCTGAGTGGGTCCTCTGGTGAATACGCAAATGAGAACTATTATTGAAGCTTTTCCAACACTGAAGACATTTATACGGTTTCTGTTTGGAGGATGTATTCTGCTGGATGGAGACACTGGTGTGTTCTCTTAGGTCCCATTGCCAGTGATTGGATTTTTCCTCCTCTTTTCCTATAAAATTTTCCCACTGCCTCTCTGACTTATTCTCATAGGAATCATGACACCAAATCTCATCTCCTTTCGACAATGATAATAGAGTTTCTTTTGTATCCTCATGCTTAGAATTTCGCAAGCCATCTCTTTTAGAGCACTTTGAAGGTTTCTCTTTAAGCTTATTTGCCTTAGGTTTATTATGTTGAACAATTTCCAAATTATTCTTATGCTCATCTCCTGAAAGAATAAAGAAATATTCTAAATATATTCCCCAATCTTTGCTGTAGGTGAGGACAGCATTCTGAAAGGCAGTGAAAGACAGGAAACAACAAAGTAAAAACCTCATAAATTATTTTATATTAATTTTTTTATAAACAAGTTTCATTTGTTTTATTCTCTATATTCACCAAGAACAGGTCACTTTAAAACATTCTTATGGTCAAATTTTTGTACTTAGAACAACACCAACATATTTGAACCAAAGTTGTCAGCAATTGTCAAAGAGGACTATTTATGTAAAATAAGTATTAAATTCTATTCTCATAAAAGGGGAGATCTAACTCAAAGAGAAACTATGACACCATCTGAGGTGAAAACTAGACAGTTAATACCTTAGTTAAAATCTGAGCAAATACATAAATAACAATGATAGCTACAATTTATAAAGAACAATAGCTTGTATATGATATTTCACTAATCCTAAAAAATGCCAGCCATTTTATCATTCACTTTTCCACAAAGATGAGAAAAATGAGGCTGACACAGCTTGTAAGTGACAGAGCAAGGGATCAAATTAAAGTCTATCTCATTCTAGTGCTCTGTTCTTTGTACAATACTGTATCACCTTCATCGCTAATACAGAATTTCCTAAGGATTCAGATCATCTTGTTAATCCCTCACCTGAATAAGGGCTTTTCAAACTCTTTCTCTCCTTAGAGCCATTAGAATCTGAGACCAACAGTTCTTTCTCTTGTTCCATCATAATCATCACAGCCAAGTTAGAGATCAGAAACCCTGTAGAAGGAAACAGGTCATATTTGGAGGAATTTATTAAAATATATTGCTTTGCTTTTCTTTCCAACTGCACATAACAACTTCAGGCATAAAATGCACTTTATCCCATACGGAAAATAAGAAACATGGTCCTAAGCAATTTTAGAAAATCCTATCTCCTATCTCCAATATGTTTAAAATTAACAAATACATTGAGAATTATCAGATAATCCTACCTTTTTCTAAGGAAATAACAATAAAATGAAATTTCATATTAAAGGTCTGAAGATTAAGCTAAAAATGGGAGGCTATACAAATTGTTCACCCATGACTCAGAAACACGGGTGTCCTCTTTTAATTGAAAAAAAACCCAAAGAAGTATTTTGGAAAAGGCATCAATAATAAAACAAAGAAATTATTAGGAAGCAATACGCTGGCACAAGAAGCACTTTAGAATAAATATATGGCACAAAGCCTAGAAAGGAAAGAAAATATTTTTGCTTAGTTTAAAAGAATAACTTGGTCCTCAAATGGAGAAAGGAACCTTTGTAATCTCTTTCAAAGAAAAGTTACGTAAACCCCCAAATCCACTATCACTGAGTAGATTACAACTCATAGCAACCCCGTATAGAGTTTCTGAGGCTACAAATCTTTACAGGAGTAGATCACCTCATCTTTCTCCTGCAGAGATGATGGATTTGAACTGCTGACTTTTCATTTAGCAGTCCAACGTTTACCAGACAATTGCCACCAGTGCTCTAAAGAAAAATTTGAATTTATATAATCAAAAACAAGAAATTGGGATAAAGTAGATCATTATAAGCAAACCAAACCATTGCCATTGAGTCAATTCCTACTCATTCCAATCGTGTAAGACATATAACTGCCATGTAGGGTTTCCACAGCTGTAATCTTTACACAGGCTGACTGCCACATCCTTCTTCCAAGAAACCACTGATGGGTTTGAACTGATGACTTTTGGGTTAGCTAATAACCCCTAAATATAATGGAGGTTAAAGAGGAAACTCTTTCTTGTCTCTTACTACCCAGTGCCATTGTGTAGATTCCAACTCATAGCTACCTATAGGACCCAGTAGAGCTGGCCCTTGGGGTTTCTGAGACTATACATCTTCTTGGGAGCAGACAGCCTCATCTTCCTCCAATAGTGATTAGTAGGTTTGAACTGCAGTTAGCAGCCCATCACCTAATCAACCACAACACCAGGGATCCTTTCCTCTTACTAAGTCTATCATTACAATATCCATTCAGACAAAATTAAGCTTCTGGAATCAATAAAAATCTTTTTGCCTTACTTTTTCCATTACTGTCAATTCTGACTCATAGCAGCTTTAATAGACAGAATAGAACTGTCCCATGGGGTTTCCAAGGCTATAAATCTTTACAAAATACTCTCAAATCTTTTCCCCATGGATCGGCTAGTGGATTCAAACTATGAACCCTCTGGTTAGCAGCCACGTGCTTAACCACTGCACCACCTGGGCACCTTTGATCTACTTGAAGGGACCAGAAAATGTTGCTTCCCAGTGGAAAGTAGTTGTATGCAGACTTGGTGTTCATTTGAGGATCTAGGGAAAATAAAAACTTTAAAGAATTTCATTTAGATGATATGAAAAATATATACTTATCATTTTCACCCTAATGCTGCCTAGTATGTGCCAGGCAGTGAAAGAATGTACGCATACTATTTCATTCTCAAAATATCTCCCTGAGGGTAGAGGGAGAGCGGGTAGGAAAGAGGGAACCAATTACAAGGAACTATATGTGACCTCCTCCCTGGGGAATGGACAACCGAAAAGTGGGTGAAGGGAGATGTCGGACAGGGAAAGATATGACAAAATAATAAATTATCAAGGGCTTATGAGGGAGGGGGAGCGGGGAGGGAGGGGGAAAATGAGGACCTAATGCTGGGGGTTTAAGTGGAGAGGAAATGTTTTGAGAATGATGAGGGCAATGAATGTACAAATGCGCTTTACACAATTGATGTATGGATTGTGATAAGAGTTGTATGAGCCCCTAATAAAATGATTAAAACAAATACCTCCCTGAAGTAAATGAACAACAATCTGCATTTTATAGATGAATAAAAACGATGTTGGGAAAGTTGGCCAAGGTCATACACATCAGGAAGTGGTATGGAAGGATTCACCCCCAGGTCTACTGGATTGACTATCCCGGCTCCTGTATCTGTTACAGTACATCCCAGTGGCGAATAGTTGGACTTGCCCTCAAACACAAAGGACCCTGAAAGTACTTCTATTTGGGACTATACTACGTGGATTTTTAGAAAACAGATTTACTTCCCCAGAGCTCTTACCAAAGTGCGCCTGTGTTCCCTAAGCAAGCTGGATCTCTGTTCTGGGAAAGGGTCAAGTCTCATTTTCAACAATCTCTGAGTACTTGAGTCGTGGAAAGTTAAAAAGGAACACCTAAACGCAAAAGGTGGGTCCAGGAAACGTCTCCCGTTGGGGTGGTATGTTTTGCTGTCTGGATTTATATCAGTTTGTCAAAGTTTACACCAGGGAAGCAAGGCTCCATCTTTTCTCTATTAACTTCGGTGATGGAGGAGCCCTCGAGGACAGTGGCGCAGCCAAAGGGCTGCAAACTTTAGACCATAAATGACATTAAAAGGCTGCCCTTTAAGATGGCACGCCGAGTAGAGCAGTTTTGATAATCTTACAGAAAACGTGATGGAGAGGGAGGGCCGTGCGTGGGAATCCGAAGAGGCTGCCAACAAAATTCAACTGGCTGCAGCTCAGCTTAAAGAGCCGTTGGCAGAGGTCCCAGGAGATCCGATCCCAAGACGGTGTTGGAACCTGGCAGGCGAGGGAGGCGCGAGGACCAGTCGGTCCGACGGGAGACGCGGGGCCTGGGCGCTCGCAGCAGCAGCAGCAGCAACAGCATCCTTCTCCGAGACAGACACGGCTCCCGCTCCTCCGGCCCGCAGCCCTCGGCTCCCGATCCCCCGAGAAGGCACTCACTGTTCTGGGGGCGCACTCAAGGCGCCCTGCACCCCCCAGCTCATCCAGCTGTTCTGTTGGAAGGAGCCCCCTCTCCTCCAGACCCCACCAGGAACCCAGGGGCCCAAACGCTCAACCCTGGAGGACAGAGACGGGAAGTTGCCCAAACTCCCCAGAGGGGCCTCGCCGAGGCATCTCTAGGACGGCGAACTCTCGTTGATCTTAACCCCTAGGATCCCGGAGAAGATTTCCTTCTCGCTGATTCCCTCACTTACCTAGGACTCCGAGTGAGATGTAGTTCCCCACTCTTGTCAGACACTTTTCCGTGGGCGACCGATTGGAACTTATCTATGTCCTTACCGTGTTCATAATCAGAATCAAAATCAATAGGGAATAAATTAAGCGCCTAATGCTTCTGGCCACACCTCTGTAAATACAAATGTAGATCAGCCTATCTGTGAAATGACTGGAGAACCAAGGCATTCATCCCCTTGAAAAACAATTCGTTTACAAGCAGTTTTATTAATAGCGCTGGGAAAATCCTTCCGTTTGTCATTACAAGGGAAAGTAGAAGCCAAGCACTTTATCCCCCTGAAAGCAAACGTCCAAGCCTGCGCCCAGTTACAGTTAAGATAGTTTCTTCACTGCTGCACACCCTTTTCGTCCCATCCTCTTGAAAAATGAACATTATCAATGAACCGTTTTTTCTAAATCGTTTTATTGGGGGCTCTTACAGGTCTTATAACATTCCATACATCAATTGTATTAAGCATATTTGTACATATATTGCCATCATCATTTCCAAAACATTTTCTACTTGAGCCCTTGGTATAAGCTCCTTTTTTCCCCCTCCCTCCCTCGCCCTCCCTTGATCCTGGGTCAATTATGTGTTGTTATTATTATTTCATATCTTACACTGTCTGTTGTCTCCCTTCACCCACATGTCTGTTAATGTTCCCTTGCGGGAGTGGGGGCATGGGGAGAGGGGCTGGCTCTAAATATCCAATCTAGTGATGGGCTTCCTTCCCCTTTCTCCCCCTTCCCCCAATGAACTGCTTTTTCAACTCCTCTATCCCCACTCCAAATACTCCCTCATATATTCTTTTTGCATGTATCTCCATTTCATCCTTACTCATTCTGTAGCCTGTTTCTCCTGCAACAAATCACCAATGACCTTCATGCTGCACTACTGAGCGCTCCGTTTCTTTTGGAACAATTTTTGTGTGACGATCACCAGGCATTCCCCTAAACTCTCTAGCCAGTCCTTTTAGTCTTCCCCAAACACCGAGGTTTCATAAGGTCAACCCTAAACCCTCTCCACTGATAAACCAATGTTCTCTGTCAAGGCAAGCTCGTCCAGCCCCGGTGGTTTTAAAATACCATCTAGCAAATGTTTTCACCAATTTGTAGCTCCAGCCCAGGCCCCATCTCTAAGCTTTTGACTCATAACCAGTGGTTGACTTAATATCTCAAATTGGAAGACTCAATAAAACCTCCAACCCAAATAAAAACATTAAGCTTACTTCTCTTTCAGTGTTCTTCCCCATTCACATACACACAGGCATAGAATAAACTAAACCTGTTCCTTTTCCAGTATGCGCTTTTCAGTAATGCAGAAACCCACGAGTCTTTCCCTTTCTCCCACAATCAATCCCTAAATAAGCCAAGTCTATTTCATAAAGAATTCTCCAATCCAGACACTTCTCCTAACCATCAGTGACACGGTTAACTCAGACAGTCATCTGAGTTAACCCACCTGCAGGACTGCCTTGGCTCTGAAGAGTTCTATAAACGTCCTCTCTTGTCTATCCCTTATTCTCCTCACTGGAGTCACAGTGACCTTTGAAGAAAAAGATAAATCTGATTCTGCCCTCAAATTTCAACTCCCACATCATTTCTTCACAAAGCCTTTCCATGTCCTTCTGGGTAGGGTCAAATCCCTGTACCGTGCTCCTTTCGCACCACGGTCTTCTCCAACAGAGCCCATCCCAAGACTGCATTTAAGAACAGAAATCTATTTTCTCACACTTCTGGGAGCTGAAAGTTCAAATCAGGGCCTCCATCATGTCATTTCTTACATCCCCAGTGATCCAGTAGTTTAAGGACATGGGTGCTAATGGACAGGTTGACAATTTCTCCCTGGAGAAAGATGTAGCTTTTATGAAGATTACAGCAGCAGGTGGGGCTGGCTCCCTCAACCCCTCACCACTTTAATTTAATACTACAATCAACTTCCTGAATGGATGAAAATGTCGACATAACTTGTGCACTTGTGCTCAAAGTCCAACATCAGACCATTGAAGAGATGGGGAAGTTATCTGGACTATCTTGGAGCTTGGTTCAATGAATTTTAACAGAATATTTGGGTATGAGAAAGGTCGCTGCGAAATTTGTGCCTCTGACTGACCAGGAAAAAGAGTATCAAGTGGAAACATGCCTTGCTTTGGAAGAACAGCTCCAAAGAGACCCAGACTTGTTTGCCAAGGTCATTACTGGTGACAAGACACGGTGCTAGTCTTATGACTCTGAAAACAAACATCAGTCAAGTTTGTGGGAAACGCCATCATCACCTGGCCCCCCCAAAGCTCATCAAGTGAAATCAAAGATCAAGAGGAGGCTCATTTGTTGTTGTTTTTTATGTGAGAGGGATAGTGGATTTGGAGTTTGTTCCACCTGGTCAGACTGTTAATCAAGCTTTCTATTTAGAGCAGTGATTCTCAACCTTCCTAATACCATGACC